CAAAAATGAGAAAGTATTCAATCAAAATAAAATGACTTCACCATCATTAATATCTTCTATTAAGATAAATATTCTTTCAATTCATTCTCACTTCAAGTTAGAAAAGTTGAATAGATTTTTTTCTAACACTAATGAGTTGTTTTTTATCCAAAAACATCAAAAAAAATAATAATAATAATAACGTACACATCATATATAAAAATAGAAAGATATATGAGTGAAAAATGCGTTTCAAAATAACTTTAGATTTTTTGGTGATAATTTAAAATATCTCCCTCTAATATGGTTAAGATACTTAAAAAACTTATTTTCAATAAACTCATTTGAAGATTTTTGAATGTACGGATACAAATTATTTCCGTTAAATTATGTTTTACACTTATATTACTAATATCCTGTCTAGTATAAATGAAAAGTGTAAGCCATCATCTATCCGAAATGACAAATCGTTAATGACAAAGGAGTCTAAATGAGAGAGAAAATCATTAAGTATACGTAAATTTTAGAATAAATCAATTTATAGTAGAATTATTTACGTGTTACACTGACTAAACGAGAAGATAAGACTACTAACGAGAATCTCTAACTAAGAATTATGTCATTATTTAAATAAAAGTTTGAAGATAGTCTAATTTATTTATAGCATATACATCGTTTTATTTGATAGTATTTAAAAATGATATAAATCATCTTCATTTATAAAATAAATTGAAAATTTTTATAGTCTTATCCTTTTTTGCAAGAAGTGTACTGCTAAACAATGATGCCGAACATTTAATCAAAAAAAAAATGGAAATGAGCACTTTTTGATAATAAATAGTGAATAATAATTTCTCGATTATGGACTATCTTTATTTTTTTAAAGAAAACTTTTTGATTAAGACATATAGTCTTGGAAAAAGTCATAGAGCAAAAAGAGGTTCAAAATCATCATGTTGATGTGAAATAAAAATTTATTAATTAAGTTAATGATCTGCCTAATTCAAGTAAGATCTTCTGCATGAGTTTACGAAAAAAACTTCATGTTGTTTTGAACTTACGACACGCAAGAAAATCACTGTTTTGTGATTTTTAACATAAAGTCTATTATTCTCCTAATTAAAACCAGTGCTATAGTCACACTCAGTGCGTCAAGCTTCATTGAATCATGTATAAAACAATAAATGTTTTGTGAATCTCAATCAAAATTTTTCGATCTGATTCTCCCCGTACAGCAGACGATATTGGAATAATTAGTAACGTGTTTATTTTTCCTTTTGTACGATCGAAGCAGTGATAATGATTCTTAAAAAACAAAAAAAATTCTGATGTCTCCATCACAAGCTGAAATTATCTATTGTGTGTCATTTTATTCGATTTATACTCTTATTTCTGTTTTTAGGTTATGTTGCTTGGAGATAGTGGAGTTGGTAAGTTTCATTTAAATTTCTTATTTATATTATATATTGACTATTGTTATCTATTTAGGTAAAACATGTTTACTTGTACGATTTAAAGATGATACATTTTTATGTGGAAGTTTTATTGCTACAGTGGGCATTGATTTTAGAAATAAAACAATACAAATTAATGATAAACAAGTAAAATTACAAATCTATGATACAGTAAGTATTATTTGTCTGTACAATTTGATTTCTCTCTCATTTTCCTCTCAATATTTGTTTTATATTCTAGGCTGGTCAGGAACGATTTCGTAGTGTGACACATTCGTATTATCGTGATGCAAATGCTCTGTTATTATTATATGATGTAACATCAATAATCTCCTTTAACAATGTTCGTGCTTGGTTAAGTGAAATAAAAGAATTTGCTCAAGATGATGTTATTATATGTTTAATTGCAAATAAAGTTGATAAAATTCCGGAACGAGTCGTCACAAAAGAAGCTGGACAAAAATTAGCAACAGAATACGATGTAACATATATTGAAACATCGGCAAAAACAGGATTGAACGTTGAACTGGCTTTTTCAGCTACTGCAGAATGTCTACTTGAAAAAGAATCAACACAAAATTCAAAAATGGCATCAAAAACATTAACCAATCTAGTACAATTAAATGATCAAACACACAAAAGTTCATGTTGTCTATTTTCATCATCATAATACAAGAATGTGTAAATTAAAAGGTGGTGTGGCTTATAACATATAGTCAATTAATATTTCAAAACTTCATATATTATCAACTTCTAGGTAGACTAGAAATATCAAATCTTTTTTTTCTCTGTCTTCAATTAGAACAAACGATATGCCATGCTTAGACATTACCACTTTAGAACACAGAAAAATAGCTTCCTTACCAACAATACATGAACGGGGTCCGTCCATGATTTTTGAATATTAAATATCAGCATACAACTCATAATCTTCTGTAAAAGATTTTTTTTAAACACTTTTTAACTCAAAATTAAGGCCTTTCATAAATAAAAAAGTTAATTCTGATGAAAACACAGTTGAATAGTAATACGCGTCTACTTTCAAATCCACTCTATAGTTTATCCTTTCAGCAATGGTTTTCTTGAAATTTTTCTGATACTTCGTAATCAGAAAAATGGTTATTTTATGGGACTATGTTGTATATGTCATTACACATATTCATTTGATTTCTCATGCTCGATAACCTCTGACAAACTATTTTCACTTTTCTCTTCTATCCACTTTTTCGGCACAAAATTGATATGATAAAGTTAAAACTTATTTTGCGTTTTTCGCAAAATCGGTTATATTTATTGTTGTCTCCTCAATTTTAAGTGTTATAAAGTTTAAATTATTTTTATTTTAATAAGAAGACTTATGATTAGAGGTTAGATGGACCGGATTCTTGATTTTCAGTTTTTTAACATAAATCATAGCAGAAAATTCAGAGAAGAAATTTGAAAATTCAACCGTTATAAGTTCTAATCTCACGTTCTGGGTACAAAATAGAACGAATCCGATCTTCGTAGTATTTAAAATAGGGGAGCAATATGATCTCATAAGGACTTTTTCAATAAATTATCTTGATAAATGGGCTATTTTATTCACCTCTCACAGTTTTTTCTGATCTTAATCAAGATAGAAAGATTCATCGTGATAAGAAAGATTTTTGTCTCAATATCTCTCGATGCATATATTATGTCGAGTTTTACCTCGACAGATTTTTTATCTTGATAAAGATCAGAAAAAAGTGCGATAGGTAAATAAAAATGGTATTCATCTTGATACTTTTTTTTGTTAGGATAGAACACGATAGAAAAGGTATCGAGATGAATGCCGCTTTTTTATCCATTTCGATCTTTATTAAGATAAATTGATACTTGACAGATGTATCGATCGCAGAAAAATTATTAATTGCAGTCGATTATTGATTTAGTGAGCTACATAACATATACCGATATGTCTCGATATCTCAGTGAGTTAAATGTTCGTTTTTTATAAAAAAATTTCAATTATTTCAGAGAATCACACAATATATTGAGCCTTAGTTCACTGATGGTCTACTTCTTACAGTTCTGTCTCCTGTTACAAAATGAGAAAAAAATAGAGAATTTTCAATTAAAGTTTTGGTCATAAATGTTAAGTAAACGTAAGGGCATGACATATTGCTTAAATTCTGTATTTTTAAATTATCTTCTGTAATTATACTAATTCTTACGATGTTGTTACATATTGAGATAAAACACAGCAGTACATCCTCCTAATTCATCAGAATAAAAATAATATAGCGATACTTTTAGGTTTTACCGAGCTGATTCGTTTTTTGCGATAAACTCGGATAAATTTTTATCGAATACTATATCTATCATTTCTTTTTTCTCAGACAAAGATGGCACATATTGTGATAATATCTTTATTACGATAAAGTCTAATAAACACTTTTTATCGAAATATAGGAATTTACAACGTTAAGCGACTTATGTATCGCGATAGTGTCTTCTATTGTGTTCTATCGATAGATGCCGGTGACTGTTTTATTCCGATGATGTTTCTCATTAACAACATATTTTAAGATATTTGATACCTTATCGCGATGTATCGACAGTTACGCGATAAAAAAGTTCTCATGGAATAAGCGATAATATCTATTTCTTGACCATTAACCTAAAGATAACTCTGGGAAAATTCAACTGTTTGAGTTTAAATTTTTAACATGAACATGAGTACAATGAGAATAATGTCCAATAAAGATTTGATTGAGATTGAATATTCTGTGTCAAAGGTACATTTCCAATTGGAGAAGACCTTAATATGAACCAATGAAATAATTGAAAATGTTTTTGACCAAAATTTTATAAATCTCATTTCTCTTTTCGATATTTAAATCATATTTTTTATTTGACAACGAATGAACACCTTTTTATATGATGAAATATACTTGTCTGAATTCTATTTTTGAATTTTCTGTTTTCTTTCATGTGACTAGTGCATATACAACATTCTTTTAATTGGCTTTTTGTTATAGAATATTTTCTTTGATATTTTTGTTTTTTATATGTTTATGTGTCAACATTTAATGTATTATTTAAGAAAGAAAAGTACAAATGTGAAAAAATGTATCTAATTAAATAAAAACTTCTTCAATGTCAGTATCTCAATCTATAAAATTGCACAACATCTGAACATTAAAAAAAACACATTTGTACAAAGGTAGTTTAAAGTTAAACTTAATTTTTTGTGAGATTTCTAATCAATGATTTCATGACATTAACACATACATTTATGTTATACTATACTCTTAATCATGAATAAAAATTTTCTAGTGTAATCTCAATGTTTTTAAAAACATAATTAATCTTTTCCTAATCGAGATTAAGAATGCTGTCTAATCCAAGTACTCACGATTAACATGAATATCGAGGATGTAAATACTTTGATGCGCAAGTAAAATTATCTCATTTACACTCTTTATGAAGAATGAGTCTTATTTAACATATAAGAAAGAAAAAAATAGTCATTGTCAAGGGAAAATGATTAAGAAACATCTTTTTCATTCTAGAGCATGTCGGTCTTCTTATTTTCTATCGTTAGTTTTCTAATAAAAACTTTTGAACAAAGATCGAACGATCTGTATGAAAAAATCGAACAAAATCAGGAAGTTTTTGAAATTTATATGCAAAATCCAATGATATCTTTAAGCAAGTTAATTGTAATTAAACTAATCGTGATTAGGGCCCCCCTCAGAAAAAAGCTTTTTTGTCTTACATCCGATTTTGATGACGCTTTCAGCAAATATTTGCCATATCAAAATGTAGTTATGAAATTTGTTTTTCCTCGCTATCTCTTACCGTTCCGGGGTTTTCCACAGTCCAAGGTCAAAAAACCACCCTCCACTGTGGAACACTTTTTTTAAATATACTTCAAGCTAGAGATCTCGAGTTACTTTTATTTTAAACTAAACATCTAAACTGCGTGGACTGATGGAACCAGATTTTTGATTTAGGTCTTTGTTCGTTTTCTAGAGACCCAAGATCCTCAAAAACCCCCAAACCCTTTCGAATTCTCTGAAGATCCTTAATTTTATGGTAAACTAAGGCCTAATTCAAAAATCGGCTCCCATCAGTCCACGCAGTTAGGTGTCTGGTTTAAAATAAAACCAACCCGTGATCTCTAACTTGAAGTATATTTGAAAAAAAGTGTGCCACACTGGACATGTTCGAACAAAAAGCGTGTTTTGAGAGAAAACGCTCCTAATTCGTTGGTCGATTTTAGGACATGTATGAAAATGCTTGTAATTTTTGAACGCAAGACCACACAGAATTGTGCAATGTCTTATTTTGATCAGAAAAGTCTGCTCTATAAATCTATGTATTTAGAAAAACGTTACTTGCGTAAGTGTCCAGAAAAAATTTATTATTTGAAAACCCTGGTTTTCAAGATTTTCAGAAAACTTGCTCGAAAACCACGAAAAACCAGTTCTAGGCCCGAAAGCGATACAGATTCTGAAATTAGATACTCCATGCTATCTTTCCATGTGCTTGTCTCCAAATTGATTTTTTGATACAAAAAGATTTCATTCTGAGGGGGAAGGGGCACCCTTAAGAATGTAGTGTAACTGTACTGATAGTTTTCTTTTAAAATAAATGTAAAACATAAGAAAACCTTTTACCTGTCCTGTTTCATAATTTCCTTCTTGTTTTAACGTATTAAATATTCCAACTTCATGTAATCTGAACGATAAAGAAAATAATATAGACGTAAATAGAAAATCAGATAATACAAAATGATTGAATTTATTATAACTTCTGTTTATTTTTCCTGTTGACGTTTTGAGTAACTTAGTTTTTTCCAATCAAAAATAAAGTATGTATAATTTCAAACAAATGCATTCTTTTGTTTTTCTTTGTCTTTCTTCTTTTTTTTTGTTTAACTTTCATTAATAGTGGAACGAAGAAACCAACTACTATATATTTACTGAAACATACTTTGCATTGGATATTGTTCGAACTAATTTTTGTTGAAAACAAATTTTTTGAATTGAAAACTTTAAGATTAAATTCCATTTTAGAACAAATGTCATCGCTGTATAATCATCTAAAAATAGAAAATAAAACTATAATGAATAATATTGACAATATTTCTGAATTTTCTATAATAAACAGAACTTGAACAAAAATAAGTATCAATTGTTTCTTGTTAAGAGATCATCATATATTGAAGACAATGAGCAATATGTAACAGAAGATGATTTACAAAGAAGTAAGAAAAAAAATAGTTTCCATTCTATATTCTATGATTTAATATTATGATGCTTGTTTATTTTTTCAATATAAAATGAATAACGTAAGATGAATATATACATGACTTATGTTTTATCCACACTTTTTTTTCAACATAAAATCCATACAATTTATAGAAAAAAGATTTATCTGTCAAGAGACTAGAAATAAATAAAACAATTTTAAAAATAAAATAAATAGATGATCGAATTTGATCTCATTCATTGCCTGACTATTTTTGGGATGAGGATAGTGGTGATGGTGGCATCTGTTGTTCATTTAAATTTGACATTTGAAATAAATTATTTGTACCATCTTTCTTATAGGCTTTTTGTGTTTGGATAGGTGGCATGGATAAATAAGGTTGTAAAGAAATTTGTTTTGTAGTATTTTGTGTTGAAAAATAAGACATCATCATTTGATCAAGACGTTCTGGTAAACGATTTGTTGACTCAAAACCAGATAATTTATAAATTTCTTTCATTATCAATAACAGTGTATCTTCAGAATCCCTTAAAATAATATCTATTAACGATTGTATACGTTTATTTATAGTGTATATCATTCTTACCAATAAGCGGCATGACTTGCAAATGCAAATAAATAATCATTAAATACTTCAATTGGTTTTTCTTGTAAAACATAATCAATTCTTCTACCCTGATTTAATTTTCCAATTGTACGACCTTCCCATTCATCGATATGAGTATCTAAACAGAACAACAGACTGCTACAGACGGATTTAGTAGCACTAAATTGATAGACACTAAACTTAAAGGTAAATTCATTTTAGGCAATACTATATTAACACGTTAGCTGCCAATGCACCACGTCATCATGTAAGTTTTTTTGGCGGCGTGATACATTGGCAGCTAACGTGTTAAGGCATTTTGTGATCGAGATAGGATTGTTCATATAAATATATAACTCATTTTTGCCTATTGATTATACCTTCGTCATCATCTTTATGTTCTTTTTCAAGCTCTGCTGCTGCTTTTGATTCTACTGTATCTACATTGTTTTCAACTGGAGTCGTTGGTGATGGAATCGTCGTTGTTCTAAAAAAAAAGAAGATTCAGGCTACTCTATTCCAATAATTTGATTAGAAGAATAACATTTTAAAAATATGCATGTTTTATGAAAAACTAGAAGAAAGTAGAGCAAGAAGAAAGAGTTATGCTTTCCACTGATCGAATCGATGTTTTTACTACTGGATATGTATTAATTAGAGTCCTGCGGGACAAACTTTTCTGTTGTTCTATCCCGTAAGCCCGAGCCCATGGAGCAAATAATGTTGTCCCGAACCCGTTTGTCCCGTGAAAAAAATTTACGGGCTTTTTTGGTTCGTCCCGTTTGTCTCGAAATTTTTTGAAAAATATTTTCTTTTGTGATGAACCGTAACTGTTACAAGAGACACTTATAGCCTCAAACTCATTTTTGCAAAACATCCGCATGACAAATTTACATCCACTCACTAGCTCGGAGTCGAAAGGAAAGAACTGTAGACCCTAGTTTTAGATATGGAACATCTTCTCAAGGTTAAATCCAGACCATTTCGCCTCTCCAGGTTAATTTTCATTAGTTATTATGAAATTACGGTTTTGACTTGATAGTATTATAAGAATTAAACATTTGAAGTTGCAGCATAATTACAATCAAAAGACAAAACTTACGGGACATTTTTCTGCAACTTGTCCCAACCCCGTAAGCCCGAGCTCGTGAAATTTTTTATTGTCCGAAGCCCATGAGCCCAAGCTCCTAAAGTTATTTTTGACCCGTTCCCGTCTGTCCCATAGGACGGGCTTCGGGGCTGCCCCGCAGGAGTCTAATATTAATAGATTACGACATAAAACAACACTTAAGTAATACGTTACTTGTCAATTCATTATAATTGAATTAGAGCGATGATTACTGTGCAAATTGACTAACCTGTGTGCACGTGCAAAATCTTGAATTGTTGACCATGTACTTTTTAGAACGTCAACCATTTTATGTTTAAGATCTGTTGCCTTCGACAAATTATCCATTAATTCTAAAATTGTGTAACATGTCATTTGTCACAATGCACAGTGGGCATTTTTTGCTAGAGCAAGCGGACTTTAGCTTTATGAGTGAACTAAAATTTCATGAACCATCTTTTTATAGGTTTTTCATGATCCTCTTTCTAATGG